ATAAAAAACAAGATCGGAAGTAAACATTTCGGAGACGCGGAACATGAACTAAGACTGACCAATTCTCTTGTAAAGTAAATCTAGTGCGTTAAAAACAGATTAAAATTTGTTTTAATATCTGTTCCAGATAAAAAACGTAATAAGATATTATAACATATTAGCATTTACCCAAATGCAGATAAAAATAATTTTCCGAATATTATTTATATTTAATTACGTTTTCACTGAGCAAAATGATAAATGTGCATCCACTTAGCGCGTATTTTCATTTTATTTAAATTTTAATTTCCTTTCAGGCGTCCGTTGTAAAAATCTGTTTCAACGATCCATTTTATCGTAAAAAGCGCGCAACAAATTCAATTCCTTATCTGTGGAATTATTGAATTTTCCTGATCATCTTGAATGTTTAAAACAAATTTATGTGTTTGTAGTTATTTGATTTATATACTTGGACATTTAAAATAAATCTTTGTATGTGAACTTGCAGAAGAATGATAAGAATTACAGACTATAGCAATATGTCACAAGATGGCGCGAACTAGCGAACTTATAGGCCACAGATTATGACATTTAAAAATATACACATAAAAACTTTTTGTTGTATTGGCAAAAAAAATATAAAAATGTTATAACTAGCTATTCTTGTACATACTTAGCTTTCAGTCGCCCGAAGGCAGGCATCGTAGGGAACCCACGCCGTCCGTTTTGATTTAATATTCTTTGGCTCAAATGAAAATACGTACGTTTTCAAACGAGCAACATCTTTCCTCTTCTGTATATTATCTTAAGATATATTAGTTTAAGAGATAAAAGTATAATGATTAGTACAGATGATTTTACATTGTTATCTTTTAATTAAGTGTTATAAGAATATTTTTAAAAGCCATTGCCTATACACTATCATATATTGGTTAGTTACATTTCTCAGGAATAGGAATTGGACGGACTTATTCTAGTCTTATGGTAGTATGAATAATAGATCTATGGCTAATAGTAAGCGGTTCGGGATTCGATCCCCGCCGGGTGCAACATCTTTCTAAATGATTCACAATTTTTCTGAAAAAACTTCGTCTGGAAATCTGGATGTAAAATGGCTTTAAATACTGTCTATACGCGAGTATTACACATTTAAATAAAACACAGTAACGTAAGTTTACAATGGAACAGGAGGACAATAACACACTACCTTTCTTAGACAGTTTAGTAATTGTGATGAACACGGTAATATTGGGCATACGTCTTTAGAAAAACAACCCATAAGATAGGTATTTGAACGGTGACTCACATCACCACCCTTCATTAGTTCTGTGGAGTATTTTGTTTCAGAGAGCCCGCCGTCTCTGTGATGCTGCCCACTTAAATGAGGAGTTACAGCATGTCAAGCAGGTCCTATGCAAGAACAAGCTGAGAGTCCCTCCGCAGCATCCCAGGAACAGGAACAAGCCACCCACAGTCAAACGTCAGCCCGCCTACCTACCATTGTGAAGGGAGTTAAAAAATTAGCAGAGTCCTAATCGAGCTTCTTTGACACAATTTTCAAGCCGCACAGAAGATTAGCAATTCCTGAAACCAAGCAAGTGTACTATCCCTTTACAAGTAGGGTTTAAGACTGATTGTATTGTGGCCTATCCTACATCGGCCACAAAGCGTAGCATCTCAAACAGAATTAAAGAACACGTATATAAAACATAAACGTCTCTCCAAATCTGGGGCCAAACCATCAGAAGGGCCCAATCACTACATTCGCTTTGACCAACCAAAAATCCTCGCAAAGGAGAGTCGATTTTTTCCAAGATTGGTACGCGAAGCAATTGAAATCAAAAAACACCGAAATTTCAATAGGGAGGACGGCCTCAAACTATCAAACACCTGGGATCCCATATTAAAAACTCTGGATCCCAATAACAGCATACCAGCAAACGCGAAGACACCGTTAGTCAATTTGTAAGGACCCGGCCAGTTTCGCCAAATACCAACTTCGACGGAACAGATGGCGCTAGCGTAGCAATTTTTTACTTTGACGTCAGAGACATCCTCCATCTTTAGTCTTCCCGTGACCACGGCTGCTGCAAAGCATCCGAAACGTCGGGCCGAAGTTAAAAATCATTTTAAATAAGTTTAACTAATATATCGCGTTTTAAACCGTTAAAGTGTTTTATTTAAACACATTAACGGTTTAAAACGCGATATATTAGTTAAACTTATTTGAAAATAGAGACTATCTCCCCGTGACCACGGCTGCTGCAAAGCATCCGAAACGTCGGGCCGAAATTGAAAATCATTTTCAAATAAGTTTAACTAATATATCGCAATTTAAACCGTTAAAGTGTATTTAATAGGTCGACAGCGCTTGTTATTTAGATGTTATATAGCTCCAACTAAACCTTACTTCTCTGTCTTCATCTATAAAAAATAATGTCTTGCGATAAAACAACATAGTATTGTATGCAACAGTTCTTCGAGAAACGTAAATCTCGTTCGATATTGAATCAAGCGGCACTTAGAGAAATCCCCTGATTGTAGAAATCCGCTTTTACCTCGCGAACATGGAACTTGCATTTGGCTCCACTCAATATCTTTGATGTGAAATCATTTGGAAGAATTGGATCACCGTTTTAATATGTCATATGACAACTGAATGCGATATTAACGTTATTTTTAGAATCTTCTCTCGTTCTTGTTTAGACATTAAATATTTCATCTTTTTACGTTGAAAAGGTTTTTATGACAAAAACACTACCAACATTCTCACACAATTTAGCATTCATTCAGTCATTTTAATACACACACCAATATGTTGTGTGTGGCTGGGCTTAATTATCGATACAAACTTCGTTTTCAAATACGTTTAACAAAAATTGCGTTTTAAACCGTTAAAGCGTATTATTTAAATGTGTAAATTACGGACTGTATATAATTACCGTACATACTAACAGATTTCATTAAATCATTTCTCTATTCCATCACAATTTAACCCCTACCTCACACACACATTTTTTATAATTATTTAAAATGCACAAATAAACGATGTCTATTGGTTTATTATTAAGTATGAAGTACAATATTCTATTCTATTATGATATACAAACATCCATGCTTATAATCGATAATATTGCCATGACAAAGAAGATATTGCAAAAAACAGAATAAACAGGTATATAGTGAAAATACATTTAAGGAAACGATAATGATAGGATTACCAGGAAAATAAATTGATGATGTACAATGCGAATGAAACAAACACCTGCTATTTCAATTATTAGTTAAAAAAAAAAAAGGGGGGGGGGGGGGGGGGGCCCGGGGGGGGGGGGGTTTTTTTTTTTTTTTTTTTTTTTTTTTTTTTCCTTTTTTTTTTTTTTTTTTTTTTTTGTGGGAAAAAAAAAAAAAAAAAAAAAATTTTTGTGTGGAGGAGGGGGGATTAATATTATTTTTTTTTTTTTATTTTTTTTTTTCCCCCCCCCCCCGGGGGGGGGGGGGGGGGGGGGGGGGGGGGGGGGGGGGGGGCCCCCCCCCGCCGGGCCCGCCCCCCGGGGGTTTTTTTTTTTTTTTTTAACCCTTATGTTTTTTTTTTTAAAACCCCCCTTTTTTTTAAAATTAAATTCTCCCCCCCCGGGGGGGGGGGGCGGCCCGGGGGCCTGGCAGGTAGGTTTTGGCCGGCGTGCGCAACGGAGACCCACAAGGATTAATTTGTGTCCCCGTTTTCATATTTCCCGCTGTTTTTTAGCTCCTATTAGGCACAGTGCAATGCTTTATAGCCTTCCTCGATAAATACTCTAACCAACACTAAATTTTCAATTCGAACCAGTAGTTTCTGAGATTAATTGATTTCAAAGAAACAAACTCTTTAGCTTTATATATTAGCATAGACAGATATAGATTAAGTGTGTGATCACCACATACAGACAGAGCGTGAGTGTGTGGGTAAAGAAGTAGTACGAAATATGGTATTTTCAGTTAAATCTTCAAAAATATTTCCAGTTCCTAAACCGCTTTTCACCTGAAAATACTTAGGATTATTCTACTTGTGTAACTACAAAAAGAATTTGCCTATATTACAGTTAAATTTGACCTTTACTTCAAGGTAAAACTTACTGTCATTTTCAGATTTTGTGTCCCCTGCGGGTAAGTAGAGAAGACGTAAAACTGTCCGTAATATACAAAGGAGTTTGGTACACATAAATGTTTGATTGGTGAACTAGTATTCAAATAATAAGCACGTTTGTATGTAATTTGATTAAATCTTTTCTTCAAAATATTACAGGCTGTTTTTATATAATACCGGTTCAATCCGGTTACGAGAAAATAGTTAGCCTACGCTGAACTGCTCTACACCGTAGCATTGTTAATATGTTTACCAACATGTATTGAATTTAAAAGTTTTATTCACATAAACTATCACTCGTACAGGTAAACAGGATTAAGAATGAAAAAATAAAGCGATATTTGCAGACTTTAGAATTAAATGTTTACTAAAATTTAGATGTTAGATATTTATTGGAATTTGTGAGTTAATTATTGGAGAAAATATCTATCACTCGTGTCACATATAATTGTGTAGTAAAGCTTAGCCATAATCAATAATATAAATACACACAGTATATGATATGCTTATATGTATAATCTTATCATTATAAGTAGGTACCTTTAGAAACTCAAACCAATGAACCAATTAAATGTATTTTTGGATATATTTTTTTTGGTGGCCGGTTCAAGTCCTGTCCGTGACGAAGTTTTTTTTTAAATCTAAAATGAATTTTTAATTTATCCCATTACCCTATTATATACCATTTATCCCACCCATTAATATTTTTCACATGTTATTGCGCCATCACGTGCAATAACATGTGAAAAATACAAAATTTTTAGACTAATGTTGGTAGTCCGGTTGGAACTGCTATTTATCTCGACGCGCCTCGAGATTCGAACCCACGTCACTCGTGGGGTCACTGAACTCATTGGGCTATCGAAGTTTAAATTGATTCATATTTTTTTTTCCAGGTTCACCCCCAAAATGCGGTGGAACGCAGCAGCAGCAGTGAGATAGCCGCAATGGTTCTCGAAAGTACCAAGGCACCATGGAAAAGGTAGCGCTGCGTAGAGCGAGACAGACATAGGCAGCGGCCGTCGGAATGAACGGGACGGACGCAAGCGAGGATATTGCCATCGAGCTCGCGCTGAGCGTGACCCTCACCGTCATCTCCGCTATTGGCTTGCTGCTTAACGTCTACATCCTGTTCATCATTGTTCTAACTAAACAGGTAATGAACAAGAAACGTCTGATGGTGTTGGGGTAATGGTAGCAACGTATGGTCATGGGTCCGACATTTTTCTAATCAATTTATAATTTTTATGAAACATGTTGGATTTGGTCTGGAAATCTTGATATTAAATGAGTGGTAGGGTCACAAAACACCGTCCTCAGATGACTGCCGTGAAGTTTAATCGCGGATCGATTTCGGTCAGTAGATTTCCGAATATCCAAACTTTAAGTAGGTCGATAGCGCATCTACCGTAAAGAGTATTTTTTCTAAGTTGAACAAAAATACCACAAAATGGCCGATTTTCAACCACAGAGACCATCATACAGGGAGCCTGAAAACAATATTTTGTTACTGAACAATCTTTAAACTTTAAGTGGGAAATAGATCAAAGGGAAATACATCTAACTGAAAACACTGCGACAAGAATCAACTTAATATATAAATGTATAGAAATCATAATTACGATGGTTTTTCTAAAGCATTTAAAGATTCAAAAGAGGCGATAAACTTTTTTAATACTTCCCCGCGCACCCAAACAAATATTGGGTAAGCTGAAATTCTTCGTTCCCTCAAAAATCCAAACAATGTTGGTACAAAGCATTTCGCTTCAACAATGCCATATCAAAAAATTAGGGTCTTTGTTAAGATTACATAACGTTAGCAGTTTAAGATCCAATCGGATCAAACTATTTATTGTCTGAAAACCTTTTTCAGGTAATACGCTCGGCATTTGAGACTTGAATAGGAAAATCTGTGCGATAACAGAGTGGTTACAAATTCAATAGACTGAACTTTAAGAGCCTTACCACTCTCTAAGGTGTTAGCGCAGAGTTCTTGATAAAATTGGCCATTTTGTTTTATATTCTCCTTTTATATCTCGTGTCATACAATACAGTAAAGTATTGCAACTTATTTGAAGAACATAATGTAGTATTATTTAAATAAAACACTTTAACAGTTTAAAACGCGATATATTAGTTAAACTTATTTGAAAATGATTTTTAGCATTCTGTTTCCTGAAGTTTCGTATGCTTTGTCGGGTAGCCGTGGTCAAATGTAAGAAGTTAAGTATTGTATGTAGCCGTTTTACGCCGTTAAGTGTTACATTTGAAACATCATAATGCAATTGTAGCAAGGTTGTTTAAACGGGACTCGGAACAGTTGAGCATTTTATTATCCGAATCTTATATCCGTAACACGGTTATTGGATATTAAAATGTTTCAAACAATTTTGGAATTTCTTTCGCTTTTATATTTTTTTATAAGTTTAACATTATTAGTAAAGTTTAACATTTTACTACGTTTCACTACAGCTCTGATTATAGGGGATCCGAAGATGGTCAGTGTCTCTAATGTCAAAATCAAAAAATGCTACACTAGCGCCATCTGTTTACTCGTAAAAACGTCGGGTCGTAGTAATTATAACAACGTCCGTTTAGTATTCAAGGCCTCAGGCCCGATACAACATAATCGAAATAAATAAAGAAATAGTAATAATAAATTGTAAATAGTCACTAATTGATTTCATGTTTTAAACCGTTAAATCTGTGTTTTTAATGTGTTCTAGTCGCGTAAATGACTGACACTGAGTAATTACTTGTTAATAAACTTTCAGTGGAACGGACACTGAAATGGAGATGTGTCTACCCTATCACTTTATATAATTGGCTACTTGGAGAAGAATATTCGTGTGTTAGTTAGCTGTAACCGCCCGCCTTTGTCTCACCTCTTGACACCGAAAACGCTAGGTTTCAAGTGTCATTGTCATTTAGTTCCCGTCTTGTGTACTCGTCGGAAATACCATCAACACTTGAGACTTTATTCTTACTATTTAAATGAAACACTTTTAACGGTTCGAAACGCGAAATATATTACTAAACTCATTTTTAATTAACGTTAACGGTTTAAAATGTTATTTAAACGTGTAATACTCGTGTGAATTATAGACAAAACAAAAAAACGAATTGAACCGGCATCCACAGCTTATCAATGTGCGGCAGTTGCATGTATCAATGTTGAATATATTCCACGCTGACGTGAAGGACACGTCACATAGTGTAGAAGTAAAATCGATTTTTGATTTTACATCGGAGAGAATTTTGAGTTTTACAAAGGTTGATTGTTATATTTAAATAAAACACTCTAACGGTTTAAAACGCGATATATTAGTTAAACTTGTTAGAAAGCGATTTTTAACTTCGGCCCGACGTTTCGGTTGCTTTGCAGCAGCCGTGATCACGGCGAGACTAAAGATGGAGGATGTCTCTGACGTCAAAGTAAAAAATTGCTATGCTAGCACCATTTGTTCCGTCGAAGTTGGTATTTGACAAAACTGGCCTGCATAAATACTATTATTTAAATGTGTACTACTCGCGTAAACTATAGACAGTATTTGTGGGGGAGACCTCAGAGCACTCTAAAAGGAATTGTACCACAAATGAACGCTACGGCGTTTTCCTTTTTGCTCGAAGGCTTCAAACATAACCATAGAGATCCGTTCATTATCCTGTTAGACGCAATTAACGATCCGTATGCTTAGTATAACATCCTTTTAATAGAGCCTTCTTGGAAAACGACCGCGGAAAATGGCTGAAATTAACTAGAATTTAGGTGAGGTGTATATTTTTATTTGCACTAAAAACCTTCCATGCTCGTCAACATCTATAGCACTTGCTCAACGTCCTCCGTGATTCCGTGGTTAGGCCTAATAAGCATTTGGAGGCTGGGGTTCGAATCCTGGGAAAAGATAATTGTTTTAGTCGGATAGTGTACGGAATCCAACAGTTATGCAGTAGCTATAAGCAGTTTTGACTATGACATTAATTGTTACTAACCCAACTAACACACATTAGAATTAATTAATTTTAAGAAATGGATTTATGGTGTGAAAAATAAATTATTATTATTATTAAGTACATCTTCCATCTTTGAACCCCCACGGCTGCTGCAAAGCATCCGGAAGACGGGCCGTAGTTACCAAAAAGTAAATAAATTGAAAGTGTATAAAGTAAATAAATCTAAAATTTACCACGTTTTTAATCGTTAAAATCGGCCTTTATACAAATTTGTGATTTCAATCTATAATTATAATAGGTATATCTATAAGTACAGATTAAAAAAAAATTAGTGACTAGTAAAAATTCTAACTAAACAAATTTAGATGATGATTTTAGAGATTTCTCTACGTATGTTTTATCGATATGTCAATATACCAAACACTTTGCTCGTCTCGATATTTGTCGACTCTTGGTTATTGTTAACTTGCCCAAATTCAAAATAACATGCAAACCTGCATATTATTATACAAAACAAGAAGTGACGAAAGGCAAGAAAAACAAAATTCATTGCGAGTTTTCTTACTCTCCAGATAATTAACTTGGGCGAAGTTGATTAAAAGCTCGTTGAATCCTTATATTTTGATCACGTTTTCATTAAAAACACGACCTTAATTGCAGGTATTTTTCGAGTACGAACAATCCTCTTGTTTGGCGAGTTCCGCACCCAAAGTGTAAACCCAAAGAATCTTAAGACTTCTCTTCTGTCTGTCTTGTACGAGGTCTGTAATGTCTGTCTATCACCATAGCTGTATCCTAATAACTAGTCAGTTTAAAACTACAATAATTATGACGTCATTCTATTGCCGCTAAAATATTTATTTACTTACATGGTACGACTTAGTTATTTTATAAAGCTCATAATAGTTTCAGTATACTAAAATAGGCTGATAACTAGGAAATAATAAGTTTTTTTGTAGAACTTAGACGAAAGATTAAAATGGAGCATGCAGTTTCTCTTAGATAGAAGAGAACGAAAAAATTTAGGGTTCACTTGTGCAAGGTGAAATACCCCGCTATAAGATGTGTCGGCCTATTTCGTATATTCGAAAGTTAGACTGAAACCGAAAGCGATTAAACTTGATATTTTTTCAACTGTGGACGATATTCGTGATCCGGACGAAATTTCAATTTTCCTGCCACCTTTCGATCTCCAGACGAAGTCCAACCTGTATTAGAACAATTATATATTGATTAGAACGGTTGAACAGTGAGATAGAACGGTTGATGAACCCGTGGCAGTGGAGAGGTGAAGAAGTAAGTCAGTATGTAATAACCGCTGTGACTACGAGCGAAAGAAAAAGGAGAGTTAGAGAATTTAAATAAAACACTAATGGTTTAAATCATCCGAACGGCATCCGAAACGTCGGGCCGAAGTTAAAAATCATTTCCGAATAAGTTTAACTAATATATCGCGTTTTAAACCGTTAAAGTGTTTTATTTAAATGTGTACTACTCGCGTAAACTATAGACAGTATAGAGTTAGAGAAGATACATAGTAAGAACAATACAAAAAGTCTTGTATGCTGCACGTATTTCACATTTCACAAGTACTAATTAATAAGGGTTACCCCTTAAGAAAGCTCTCAAAAGTAGATTAAGGCTAAGCTGGAGTTGCTAAAGAGAACAAAATACACAGAGTCAACATCCCTTGAGCATTTTGCGAGGTAAACAATTCGCTAAGCACTGAGCGAAGATAAAGCAGTCTGTGAAACGGTGATAAGTTGGCTATTTATAATACTCTCGCACTACTCCTCCGGCAAACGTTATGTTGTTTGCAATAGTAATAATTACTCAAAAAGAAATTTTCACCGAATTTGAGTATCCTAAAACCGTGTTGCTTATTAATCTTACAAAATAATTTATATGGGCATTGTCTTAAACATATTTTTTTGGTTTCTTGAACCATTTTGCAACGCTTTCTACGGAAGCCCTCCATGATAAATAATTTTCCCTGTTTTTTTTTCACATTTTCCACAGTTTTTTCGTTACTATTGGTCGCAGCGTAATGTAAAGCCTTTCTCGATGAATGGTCTCATCAACAAAAAAAAGAGTACTTCCTGCGACTAGCGCGTTTAGAGAATATATACCGAAAATTTTAATAAAAAAACGTTTACAAACTTAAATCTAGATCAACTTACATTTGAAGATAATACGAATAAATCTGTCTGTCTAATGTATTTCAATTTAGAATATTTTCGATACAAAATTCACTTGTAATTATAATCAAGGTTCTTAATTGATATTAATGATGACTTCTTATCGGCAGTAAATTTAAGGGAAGAGATATTTATTTTATTAAAAAGATAATGACGTTAAACAATAAATTTCAGTCACTTTTATTCTAGATTAATTTAATTTTTCCAACTCTTTATTAGATTATCTTTATTGATATTTATATATCTTTTACGATTATTGCAATTATTTACAGTAGTACTTTGAATGTAACTTATTCATTACCATCACCAGTTGTGTTAAGCGTGTTGCTTTGCATTACGTTACGCGAGAGGTCTTGGGTACGAATCCCGGGTAAACAGTAAATTATTTTAGTCGGGCAGGGCGTAGAAGTCTAATGAACTGTTTGCCTGTAAACAAAACCGTGTTAAAAAAATAAGTGATGCAGACACAGAAATGTGTTCGCCCCATGCTCCACGGGTATTTTAAAATAAACAAATTATTAATTTAATGCAGTTTTAAGGTGTTGCAAAATAAAACGAATTCTTTTTATATTTAATTTATTGAAACATTCACTATGATATAGTTGAAGACAAAATTAACCGTAAAAACGTTGTGTCGGACAAACTTTCTATACTTTGTATGTTGTTAACTGACTCTGAAATTGATGGTATATTATCTGTAGTTGTTAAGGAAAATAATTTACTTATAGTCTGGTCAATCTTATGAGGGTATACAGTTGTATCTTCTAAATTTCGTTTCTTCCTAATAGGTATACCTTTGATTTCTTCTTCGTAATCTTCCTCGCTCTGGTTAGGTCTTTTCTTCATTTTATGTTCCATTTCTTCTTCTCGGAGGCTTAAAGTTTAGGCAATGAAAAATAAGGCTTACTCTTTTGAATTGTTCTAAATAGATGAGGTTTGATCCCCACCGGGTTCAATAAGTTTCTAATCAAACTATCCTTCTCAAACATGTTGGACCTCGTCTGGAAATCTGGATATTAAATACGGTAGGAATATCGAAATTCCATCCGGATCACGAATCACCGCCCACAGATAAAAATGATTCGGTTTCAGTCTGTGGATTTTCGAATATCCAAAGCCAGTATAAGTCGACAGCGCGCCTTTCTCTATCATAAAACTTAAATTTTATATTTCGTTTTATTGCATAATGAGAAATTACCTGGGATCATCGAATTTATCAAACAGAAGACGCTTATTGATATCTTCGAAGTCATTCTTGAAATCTTGGGGCGGTGTTTGAAAGCTTTCAATCGACGTTCTTGGTGGTGTCAAAGATGGTGGTTTGGCATTACGGTACGTGCTGCGCCTGGTGGGTCTAATCGGGCCAGCCGTCGTGACCGGTGAAGGCAGAGTCCAATGTCCAGGGTAGTCTCCAAACGGACCAAATTTCGAAGCTGAGTTCTTCGGCTCTTGCCAACCACCTGGTGCGTGAAAATGTGGGTCCGGGACGGCTAGTCGTAGGGAATTTATCTGCGTCGTGGACGTCGTTGATGGGAAGTTGACTTTTGGCATCATTCGTCTTCCACTGTCTTCGGGTACTGCTGGCTGCAAGAGAATACAAAAAAATACGACTGTTTTAGTTTTACTGACTCAATCACCATTAACGTAACGTGTGTAGTACATACCTTTTCAATTTATTGATTAGAACATTTTTGATTTATATTACTGTATGTGATAATTGAGGAGATAACATTTTGCTTAGTATTCCTACTACACCGTAAATGGGAAAGAACGTCTTGTTAATTTTAAAGTCTTATAAACGTGTCACAAAAAAATTAAATATAATAGTATGAAACTTGTACTTTCATTTCGTTTTAATTTAAAAGTATTTGTTGATCTACAACTAACAACTTTTACATACATTTTAAGGAATGTCATAAATTAACACTAAAAAAAATTAAAAAGTGCTTTACAAGTGAACGATGCAAACATAACCGTCTTGTAAGTTTAAATTAATAACTGATTTTAGATTGAAAACGTTTTGCAGGACTTGAAGCGGCATTCACAGCTTTCCGCGCTGTTACTCCAACCAATTGAGCTATCGAGTCCTACACGTCATCGTAATTTTAACCTATCGATAAGCACCTCCTCTCTTTTACGTATTCAGAATACAAAAGGATTATTTACAAACTACCTGTTCCCTGCTAGTCATACGCCGCTCTGCCTCTGCTGCCTTTTGCTTGTCAACAGCGACTTGAATTGCTTTCATTTTGTCAAACATTAAATAATCTGGCGGCAGTTTTTTTACCATCTGAAATTAAAAAAATAATCCTCATGTCTTAAAAACGTGCAGGTTATACTTGACATAAACATGTTATTTTTGTTACTAATTAGAAGGGCCCTTTGATCTATATTATAGTAAATGATTTTGAACATTTGAAAACTTTATTATTTCTTACATGCACATGAAGACACTATATAATTTAAAATCGAGAATAAATTGAAAAAATTTCGTCTCGGGCAGGACTTGAACCGGCATCGTCAGCGTTCCGTGCTGTTGCTCTACCAATTGAACTACCCAGTTCTACACCTCGTTGTCAAATTTTTTTTCAACTTATTGATACATGCACCTCTCGCGCAAATTTTTTTTATAATTTATTTTCGATTTTTAAATGATTTCTAAGTTTCTCCAAGCATATTGGACTGAAAATTATGGTATCGTCACAAATGTCAATATTAAAACTCAACTGCTAATCCGAGTTGCGTATTCAGTGAGTAAGTTTGCGTATGTCAAAGCAAATATAGGTCAACAGCGTACCTTTTTTGATGTTATAGGCTTACTGGATTTCACCTCCCATCCGTGTAATTGATAAATCAAATAGAGGGATTGTGCTTTGCTTTACAGAAGGAAACGGGTTTTCATATTTGGGGGGGGGGGGGACTTATTTACTTAACTTGATTAATCATAAATACCACAGGACATGGATCAATACAAAAACTAGCTTATAAATAAAAGGCGGTCTCATCGCTTATCAGCGTTCTCTTCCAAGCAACCTAAAGTAAAGGAAAAAACAAAAAAGGGAACTACGGGTAGGTGGTGTTAGGAGAAATAAAGAATGTCAAGGCTCCATCAAAGCAACGCAGAGGGCTGGTGGTGTATTTAGTGGTTCCGGTCGGCTATACGATTTGCCACACTCCCTATGTCACACTTCTATGTGCACACTTGCCTGACGTGGACGTGCACTAGGCATTCACACCATCCGTTAAGAAGAAGGAGAAATAATGAAAAAAAAGGCTGTGGAAGAAAACTGAGGTCTTGAAAGAACCAAGATAATTTAATTTGTTCACACTCACGCTATTGACATCAACTTCAGGATAAGTAGTGGACGTCTTCAACGCTGGTGGCTTCATGGTTAACTTCATTAAGGCTCCTTCAAAATTGTTTTTCTCGTTGGATTCGAAGATCGAATCGTCCAATCTTCGAGCGGGACCGAATGTTGACGATTCATCAGACGGACCTGTCATTACTGAAAAATACGACTGCAATTAGTGCAGACGTACACTAGCTGTGCCAGTGACTTCGTCCGCGTAAGTTATTTTGGGCGTCAAAATTAGCTTTTGCAAACCTCCGCCTCGCGCACGACGACGGTTGCGACCCGTCGTTCGTGTAACTTAATCTCACAGATAGACATATAGTGTCTCGGCAAATTTTTTAGATCATTTAAAAATAAATCATTTAAATAAAACACTTTAACGGTTTAAAACGGCGATATATTTTAGTTAAACTTGTTTGAAATTTATTTTTACTACGGCCCGACGTTTCGAATGCCATGCAACAGCTGTGGTCACGGGAAGAATTTCCAAACAAGTTTAACTAAAATGTATCACGTTTTAAACCGTTAAAGTGTTTTATTTCAATGTGTACTACTCGCGTAAAGTATAGACAGTATTTAAATAAATCAATGTTTGATACGTAATTGTTGGGTATCTTGTACCGTTTCCGCAGCATACAACGGAAACTCTCAAAGAAAAAGGATTTTTCTTGTTATTTCCGCATTCTTCACTTTTTCTTCGCTCCTAATGGTAGCATCGCATACAGTCTAATGCCTTCTTACATAAATGGTATACTCAACACAAAGAAGAATTAGTAAATTCGAACCAGTAGCTCCTATAGATTAACAAGTTCAAACAAACAAACTCTTTATCTTTATAATATTAGACAAAACAGATGGTAACAACTACAATAAAATTTCAAGGTAGTCTTACACGCGCCGTGGACATAACCATAACGTGTTGATGGGCACTCACGATTTTCGTCATTAATATGTCCCTTCACTGGCATGTGGCCGCTCCTCCTCCAATCCATATCATCAGCGATGTCGTCATCGAAGACACCCCTCTTCAGGTAGACGGACACGTTTGTCTCTGAAGCAAATAGCATAAGTTGTAACATTTTGACGGCCTCACTGGTCTGATGATAGTAGTTGCTGATAATGGACGGGTTTGGGTTTGGGTCCAACCGGATCCAACATGAACTATCTTAACATTTTGGACTTCGTCTGGAAATCTGGATATTGAATAGGTGGTGGGAATATTGAAATTCCCTCCCGACCATAAACTACCGTCCACAGATGAAAATGTCGTGAGGTTTAGTCGCGTTTCGGTTTCAGCTCATGGATATCCGAAGATCCAAAGCCTAAATAAGTTGACAGCGCATCTTGCGCAGATGTCTGGAGTATTCACCTTCCATCAAGAAGACCTCATGTTTATCTATGTCATAAGAAATAAAACAAACCTAAATGGCATACCTTTTAAATCGATATACTCAGCAAGTGAATAGTTATAACCAAGAGCGACACCAGACATGGATGCGGTGACCAGGGAGCAGCAAACCGCTGAGCTGATGCAGCATGACATCGTGAAGGTCCATAGTCTAAAATTTTATTTACCGATAAAAATTTCTGACTACCTTCTAAACAGATTTTTTCCCCACCGGGGTATGGGAAAACACAGACTTATCTCCATTTAACTGGACCTGGCCGACCGAAATAATTTATTGTTTTCCTCGAATTCGAACCCATCCTGGGTTTAACCATGCTACCAGCCACGGAGGCGGTCAACTTGTACTTTAATTGTAGACTAATATTAAGTATTGTCTGCAATTTACGCGACATATTTAAAAAAAAACATTTTAACAGTTTAGAACGCGAAATATATTAGGTAATGATTTTTTAATATATTTTAACTACGGCCCGACGTTTCGAATGCTTTGCACCAGCCCTGATCCCGGTCTTTATTGTTTTAGATAGACTTAAAAAGTGAATACAATTATTTATTTGTAATATCATATTGTCAGACAAAAATGACTCTTATTACCGTTGTATAAGATCGATCATCCAACCGCAGCATGTGAATATACAGCACATTGTTTATAAGCAGACTCATTTACACGAACTAATTTTATAAAACTTGGAACGAACCTGGAATTTAAAATAAAATACAATATCTGAAATGCTTCTGTCTTGGTTATTTCTTTTCTGACGACGGTCCGACGTTTCGGATGCTTTTGCACGGCTACTGCAAAGCATCCGAAACGTCGGGCCGTAGTTAAAAATAATTTTCAAACAAGTTTGACATTTAAGTTATATTATATCGCGTTTTAAACCGTTAGAAGTGTTTTCTTTAAAAGTTGTGACTCATTTAAAAAGGCAAACAAATACTCACAATTTCGAAGTGAGCCGAAATCTATCTACTTAGATTTCGACTTAATCGTGCGCATAATTTTGTCTTAATAACTACATCATAAATTAGTAGAAAAATTCACATGATTCGCATCTACTTATGTATATTATACTGGTACGTTTGACACTAGTGTCACTATTTTGACATCAAAGGGACAGAGTATGTTAAAACACTTCATATAAAATACAGATAGTTCAAGTTTTTATAAGGAAGAGGAACGGTCTACATTTTGAAATGTATCCTAAATCGAACACATTTTTGTGTCCGTTTCACTGATCGGTTTTATTTACAGGGAAGTAGGTGATCAGACTGCTGTGCCCCGGCCAACCGAAACAATTTATTGTTTCCCCGGAATTCGAATCCAGGACCTCTCGCGCTTAACGCAATGATAAGAAACACGTTTAACTAATTAGCTACAGAGGCGGTTTTAGAACGTAAATCCTATATATTTAGTGTTAGAACAAGTTTAAAAGTGTACTAGTTATACTACTGACTAAACCACAGATTTAAAATTAACATTTGAATGCAAATATCTTTATAACTATGTGAATAAATAAAACATTAAATAACTGAAATATTAAAACGAAACGTTAATATTAAGTATATTATTTATACTAATTAAATAAAAAAAAAGTTTTAAAAGACAATTTCATTTTAAAATACCTTTCCCTAAATCATTAATTATGTATTTTTATACCAAAAAGCCGTTTCATTTGGCATTGATACAAAGGTATAAATTTTAGATTGATACACAACGCTTTTGCAAAGGGAAAGCTCGGAAAAGTTCCACCGATTACCGGAAGCTGAACTCAACGCCATCTCCTGTTTCTTTATGCAAACCGATTTCCAATAATGCTGGTTCTATCAAATGGCTGTAAACGTTACCAACTGAAAAGCTTGTATACGCTATAGGTACAGGTATCTATTCAATTCAAAGCTTATGGAGAGTATTTTAAGTCCCAATCATTTGATATTTAACGGTATTTCCCAGCGTTAGGTTCTAAAAAAAATAAAATTAATCCACACTAATACTGAAGAGTTTGTTTGTTTCAACGCACTAATCTCGGGAACTACTAGTTTGTATTGAAATTTTCTATTTGTTGTTTGTTGAATAGACCATTTATCGAGGAAGGCTTTAGGCTATATAACATCACGTTGAGACCAATAGAAGCGAAGAAGCAAAGGAAAATTCGGAAGCAACGAGGAACATTATTAATTTAATTAATCTTTAAGGGCTTCTATGGCGTGCACTGCCAAAACGGTTCAAATCACCCAAAAATATAATATATCAAAGAATGATTCCCCATTTTAATGTGCTAAAATATGTCCGCGACACAATCGATGCTAGTTAGAAAAGAAATTACGACACCGGCAAGACTCTGACCAATTGAGCTACCGTGCCCTACACGTTGTTATTTCAACCTATAGTGTATCTATAAACTAAACTTTTGATGAATTTCTGTACATAACAGTCCGGTGTAACAAGTATTTATGTAGCAGGTATGATATAATTATATATATAATTCCGTTTAATACCATCTAAGGCCCTTGCTTTAGAGTTCGCCTCTAGAGAGGTGAATATTTCATGAATGCGGCCGTATGGAAGCTCATTCTTGCTTCTATTTCGGTAACCCTTGCTGTTTTTGCTAATTAAAGCGCATAACTTACTCATAACTGTATATACACACATATATATGAGGTTGCTAGAGGCAGAGTGGTCTTATAACAAAAAACATGATAATGATAATGCGCACTCAACTTAGGCGAAAATGAATTTGTACCATTATTTGTGTAAGACTTATGTTACCAATTTTCCGTCAATGTACTCTTGTTGATTAACATTTTTAGACTATACAAATGTGAATAAGTTACAAATAAGTGTAAATAAGCAGTTAGGCTACTCTGCCTTTAGTGGCCTCATATAGTCTGTGTATGTAACACAGACGAAGTTGTTTGTAACACAGTAGATTCAATTTACTGCACGAAGAAAAGCGTTGTTACGTTTTTATTTCCAACGCGAAGGAGGTAATTATTGAACTAAAGCAACGTAACCGAGTTAATGAGGACATTATCTAATTAAAAGGTTGATTTACTAATAGAAGTAGAAGGTAACACCCCTACATTAGATAAATACAGATACAATTTAAGTTAAGTTAAGTTAAGCTCTAACTTAAGACCTAATTTTTATTTGCCGTGTAACATTTTGTTTCTCGACACAGATTATTCTGTATTGTGTGTTGTGCGTGCGAGTCGTACACATCTAAAAAGCTTTTTAACGGCTCAAAACGCGAAATATATTATTTTTAACATATCCGTGACCACGGCTACTGCAATGCATTCGAAGCGCTATGTCGTGGTTAAAATATAATTAAAAATAAGTTCACTAATGTATTTCTCGTTTTAAATCGTTAAGTGTTCTGTTTAATTTAGGGGAAGTACAAAATAATATCGTATATTTTTTTTATATGAACATTCCACATTTATAAAGTTCTCTTTGTGTCTTTGATTTTTTATAAATCACTTTTTCCCCATGGGGCACGGGACGGACACATTTCTGTGTCTGCTTCCCTGATCGGTATTATTTACAGGACTTGATCAGACTTCTGTGCCCGGCTCGACCGAAACAATCTATTATTTCCCCGTGATTCGAACCTAGGACCTCACTCGCTTAACGCAACACGTTTAACTGTCAAGGAGCATAAATTTCTTCATCTATTGTTTCAGGCATCATCACCATCATCAGTACTCCTGGTGCATCTTGGCGTTGTCGGAGCGTTGGCCAGCGGAGTGGCGTTGTGCGGCGGGGGAAGCGGGGCATGCGCTTGCGGCGCTCTGTTGCACGCTCTACATCCACTGCAGCTGTGGACTGTTTGCGGATTGCACGCTGACAGGGCTGCCGCCATCGCTGCTCCGCTGCATTATGCTGCCATTGTATCCGCGAAGAAGGTACCTTCTTTAAACTAATATTGTAAAAGTGGATTCAAATTGGACTCGTTCTCTGTTGTTGGAAGGCTATGAAGTATCAAGCTATTGGACCGAAGAAATATAGAGAAATTTGAAAAATATGGGGAAATCTATTAATATTTGAGGGCCCACAAGACTATTTAAGAAAATAAGTTTCATCTTTAAATTATAAAAAAATATATGTCCGTGTATGTCTCAGCAATATAAGGGAGAATTTTCAATTCGACCTACTATTTCCTGAGATTGGCGCGTTCAAACAAACAAACAAACTCTTCGGCTTTATAATATTAGTAGATATCGTGAAAGCAGTGACGAAACACAATGTAAATGAACGGTTATTTTATGTATTCGAAAACCATGATAGCGCCTAGTTTCGTGTCATATTAATGAATCGTTGTTTGAATAATTAATGATATTCGGTCATGTAATCAGGTTACCGAAGCCTTGATGTGTTTGTAATTGCTACAGTCTATTATCGGAAATAATATCTCCTTAAACTCTGTAAATAATAAAGGCTTAAGTGCCTTAGAAGGACATCGAGTTGAGTTAGATTGGAATTAAATTGAGTCGTGAACTTCCGTTATGGGGCCCCGGGCAGACACATTTTTGTGACTAATCAAATTTAATTTTAATTAGCAAGTCAATGTGTTCCATGACTTCACTAATCGATTTTTTAAATGTATTTCTTTCGTATCTTGTTATTTTGTTGGTGATTCATCTGCCTTATGCCTTTAAAGATTTTTTATTTCTAGTATTTATTTTATTTGCAGGTTCTGATATGTGTGGCGAGCGGTTGGTTGGCTACAGCAGCTCTCCTCGCGCCATTAGCAGTAGCGCAGCCCCCGATGATCTACAGCGCAGGACTCGGAGGCTGCGCCCCCGATTGCGGTGCTGGGCCGGCCGCTTTAGCGTTCTGCCTACTTTATGCTTTGATAACGCTTCTCATCCCCACGGCTCTAGTACTTGCGTGTAGTTTGAAAATCCTGCGCATCGCCCGTTATCACAGACACCGGATAGCCGCTGCTATCTACGAAGTGACGTTATCTGCGCAAGTGACAGTGACACATCAGAGAAACCCTTTCTCACCTCCACCCCCGCCCCGCCGCAGAGCGTTGTCAGCCGTCGTCCAGCCTTTAGGATCACTAGCTATATTATATTTCCCCTATTACTGTATTCTAATATGGCCGGCAATCGCTACACCACCTAGACTTTTAGCTGCACTATCAGTGGCTTTGTTAGCAGCAGCTCCGCCGGTCAATAGCATCCTTTACGGTATCAGGAGTCGAGCTTTAAAGGACTCGTTACGAAATTATAGGAGAAAAAGAATGACAAAGAGCGAAGTGACACAAGAAATCCAAGCGCGCACTCCCAGTGCTTGCGGGTCCAGGCGGCCGTCTCTATCTGCTGGTTCGGGTTGTATCCGTCCTCCGACTACAAGACGGTTATCTGATGCAGCGGTGATGGGTGCCCGGGGGTCGGAGAGACCAGCGCCGAGGGCAGCATCGTGTAACATGCTACAGGACCCGCAGGAGGATGAAGTGCCGAGGAACAGAACGTGTGCAATACCTATTATCCGCGCTCCACCGCACGTAGTGTTGGGTAGAGCTCTTGGCCTAGAAGAGGGGGTAACTAGGGAACGACGTCGAAGGCAATCTCCTAGGATAACAGTAACTAGGGCAATGTCTGATGAGTGTGAGTCCCCATCACGACGACCTCTCTGCCGCCAGCAATCTAGGTCTAGCGGGGCTCTGCTGGGGACTATGTCCTACACCCCAGCACTTTCGGAGGACGTCAAATTGGAAAGCACAGATGAGCAGCTACTGCTGTCCTGGCCTCAAGGCGCCATTGTAAATAAACATGACGTTTTATAAAACGGGTATCCAGTGCATTGCACATTGCACAAAGGACAATAACGTGCATCTAATTATAAGTCTGTAGTCTACTGTAATGCTGTATGCTGCGTACAGTAACGCGTTACGCGGCGTCAAGATTCCTTTTATACGTTCCTATTGGCTAGTTAGCTAGAGTCAAAGAATGACATCTCGTTGACAGATGTAGTCGAAAAACAATGATTGCTTCAAACTTGACGTCTCAGATGCAATCGTTCAAAATTTAAACAAGAGAATAGAGACCTACCGGCTTCGGTATATCTACGTCAAGTATTCCAATGATAAAAGGCGGCCTAAAGCGTAACGCTGAACGCGGTCGTACCGTTTTCTGTAGACTACAGTCTAAGATTAATTTTACGACGCTTCTCTTCTCCCCGACCAAACTGTGACCAAAGATGTTTCCTATCTCTTTACTATTTTAACGTAGATATACATTTATCTGACAGGGTTCCTCCATATCGTTAGCTTTACTAAAGTATTATTGTGCATACTGTTAACTCTATTCTCATAAATATTCCATAGTCTTAGTATAGGGTTGGGTATTTTTTAAATTTCCTACTTTGTTATATATAGCGGCTGTAAGCATGTGTGCGTGCCGCGACCGGGGGATTTTTGAAAAACGTGATGAGTGACTTATGTCGAATTTTGCTATTACATTCTATAAATCTGACCAGTCGCTTCACCAGGTGGAAAAGGGCACAGATAAGGAAAGAATTGGGCTCTCATCCCCTCTTCCGGCGTGGTTTGTACCTCCAAAATTATAGACAAGAAGAGTTAATGTAAAACGTTATTTTTTTTTCTTTTGCGATTATTTCTTTAAATACTGTCTATAGTTTACGCGAGTAGGACACATTTAAATAAAACACTTTTTTTACTTAGTTTATTTCTTTTTCAAATTGAGTTTCTAGGGCCGGAAGCTCCAAGGCCCTGGTGCACTAAACCACCTGCCCCTACGATAGCTACGCTAAATCTGACATAATCAAAGACTTAAGTTGGCGTAAATGCTTTGTCGGTCAGTTGGTAATTAACCCCTGGTAAGAAATTGCAAATATGTATATTCTTCTACGCTTCTCGTAATATCGCCGCCGTCCAATTTTTGGAACCTTCTTCTACGCAATATAATTTTTCTATTATATACTGATTTTGTAACATTTGTTTCGGTTTTGGATGTACTTTGTTTTATAATCACAACTACTTCACTATTGCAAGGTTGTTATCGTATTTTTGAAATAACATTCCTCAATAAATTAATGAACTGTTAAATATAATTATTAATATAAATTTTGTTGTAAAGTCTAGTCAACTATAGTTGTATGTTTTGAATATATGTGACGCTTATATGAATTTTGTTGGCCCTTTTTAAATTAAAACTGATAGATATGGCAAAGAACTTATTAGAAAAATAAATGTTCGTAATTTCTAGTCATACGACTACAATACATATGATTAATAGGTAAGTAATATAATATGTACATTGTACACGAACGCTTACGTAGAAAATAAGTAAAATAGAACTTATTCGATGTTGAGTATGTGTTAGTTGTGTAAATCGTTACTAAATATTAAATGTATAAATACGGGCAGTGAACTATATATATTTTGACGACAAATAACTTAATTGCTATGAGAGAAAATTGTATCGCCTCCCTGCCCGCAACTTGTTGCTAGTCATACTGTTTAAATAATTGTGTTAATTTATAATAGGTCTATGAGATTAAATTAAAGGAGAGTTAAAGTAGTAATGTGTTTTAATTTTAGAAGTTACAATTTATAAGGATTATTCAAATAATTTTTTATCATTTCACACCTAAGTACACAGTACAGAATTATAAAATAACTAGCGGCCTGTCAAGGCTTCGCACGGGTAGACATATATAGGTATATAGATATTTGAATTATAAGCATGCTAATTAAAACGGCAATGAATCATTAAATTAGAAAAAAATTGTATTGCACGTTCTAGCTGTTAACGACCGTTGTCTTTCTCGCTGTGCCCCCTGCACGCGTTCGTGAATTCCTAGCTCCTTATCCTTATTTCCTTTGGGTCGCTATGAGCGCTCGGCGCTTGACTGTCATTCGTATAGCTGCGACGATCTTGCATTTTTTTCTACAAGACGAACTGAACGTTCGACGCGCGATTTTCTGGCTCACGATTTAGGCGAGTACACTCTAATACTTTCCAGATGATCATTTTAGGGAGAAGACTCTCCAATACGACAAACTTTGCTAATCTCACTTGGGAACTATTCTTAGATAGCTGCATACTTCTTCTAGGCATATTGCTCTGTAAAACATTCAAGTTGAATTGCCTGTTCAAGAGCATCTCGGGCGTATTACTGTCTAAGTCGTTCAAGTACAGAGGTAACATGTACTGCCAGGTACGTTTGCCATACGAATAGCTCGTTAGCGGCATTTCATACCTGGGTATATAACCAAGTTTCCTTAAGTTTCCTGGCCTAACTCTGTACTTGCGCGACGGAACATTTTCAATTTCTTCACGGAGTATAAAATATTTGACTTTATTGAAAACGTTCAATACCTTGCAGTACTCAAGGAAGCCCTCTTCGCTTCTTATGTACTTCGGCCTAACTGATTTTGGTACAATTGATACACACCTGTAGCGAATATATATGTTTTAAAACAGATTGAAAAGTACGTCCATAGCTACTAAGCCCATATCCGATAATCGAGTCCGCCAGGGCGTTGTACAAAAAAATCGTGTTGTGTTGTTGTGTGTGTGTTGTGTGCTGTGCTATTTTTATTCCCATAATAGTCTTTCGATGTTAAAGATAGTTCAAGTATGACTACTATATACTATGAACCGGTGTTTATGTAACAAATTACGCTGATTTACTGGTCTGTTCTGATTGTTCATGAAGCAGAATCGTAAATTCGTTCAAATTGATATACAAAGGATATTTCAGCGAGTTCTTAGTCGTAGCAGCGATTCGGTCTATTATAAGACTTAAATTAAGGTACGTGTAGCGTAAACGTACTACTACTACTGTGCCAGAGACTTAATCTGTGGGGAATAGCTAATTTGGGCATCAAAATTTATTTTGGCAAAACTTCCTCTTTGTTAATTGTTCTTGGGATTTATTCTTAAAAAGTAGATATATACGGTTGCATTATTTATAGAAGAACCATTAATTTATACCATTTTTTGGTTTCCTGAACCGTTTTCGTAGCGGAACGGAAACCATGAATAAATTCCGCTGTTTTCCCACATTTTCCCTTTTTCTTGGCTCCAATTGATACCTGATGTTTCATATTCAATCCCTATCTTCAACACAAGAAAAGGCTTTCAATTCGACGTAGTGGTTTCTGAGAAACTTTGAAATAAACAAAAAAAGAAACCAACAAACAACCAAAGAAAATCTTTAGCTTCATAATATTAGTATAGATAAGATTTTTCGCTTTAGAAATAATATGTGATGTGAATATTTCAATCAACAACCTATCATTACTGCTATATTAACACTTATATCGAATTAACTAGAGAAAATATTTATTACAAATTCAAATGCTTGAGAAAACCCTCTGATAGGATTTATATAATAACAAATTGTTGGCTTCATCGCTTTTATAGCGAAAACAACATTTTATTTTTCACGAAGACTTCTTGTTATTTAATTTACGCTTTTATAATTATATTCTGACGCAGCTGGGTTTAAGGAGTAATTCAGAATTTACTTTTCAATCACAATCTTCTACCAATCTTTACAATAATGAGATATATTTTTTAAATAACAACTGTATTATGTTAAACTTCTTAATTATCAATTAGTTAACAACTATATTATAGTGTTACATTTTTAAAACAACTATACACTGTTGAGTTATCGGTAAACAACACGTTATTAAGGCCGCGAATCTGTGAAAATATGGTAAAAAAATTGTCTTCTCTTTTTTAACACATAGTTGTCACATGTCAATGTCAATCCCCTAACCGAATCGGAGTTTGAAATATCTGCCTAATACCCACTATGAACCACAGATCATAATGATAAAAAATTGCTAATGAGTTTATATTTATAGGATAGTAAGGCAAAAGTATCTGACATAAAAGAGACTTTTACAACCAAAAAAAGTATTGTCAATGTTTTCTTTTATTCTACATACAATATTCTAAATATGTTAATCATAGTAATTAAAAACGATTTCTAACGACGTAAAACACCTGAAAACAAAGAATATGTGTTGAAAATTTGGTTTAATATAAACAAACGGCCTCGACGCAAAAATAGTTCAAAGATAAATAAGTCTGTAATATATAGAATAAATAGTACACAAGTCATAGATAAAAAACTACTGTTATTCCAAAACCTTATATTTTTATCATCGCAGAACGTACAAGTATGCGATATCATTAAAAATTTCTTAATAGCAATGTTGTGCATCTTTAATTTAAATACGTACTCGTCGCGATCTCATTATATTTGTGTTTCTTGGCATTAGCTTTTCGCATACAGTAGTGGAGCCATCGAAACCTAAACTCGCAAATATAACTTACTAGCGGCCTTCGTCCGCGTTTAATAGTTATTTTCCGATTCCTATATTAGTTTGCAGATGTTACCTAAGTTGAGGTACCATCGTTTTCATCGAATACCCCGCGAGTATCCGTGCATTCACAAATAAATTTCTAGCTTCTAATACAATTCAATTATTAAAACCGATTACTAATGTAAACAAAATTCCGAAGCCGTTTCCGCCTGTCAACCCATCTCGGATGCTCCAACCGTAAGGCGTATATAGGCGACAGGAAATTTAAATTCTGCTCAACTTTCCACAGTCGTTTTAAAGTTTCGTTTTATATTGGTAATGTACATTATGTATTGTCTGTAGCTTACGCGAGTTGTACACATTTAAATAAAACCCTTAACGGTTTAAAACGCGAATTATAACAACTTATTATAACTACGCCCAGACGTTTCGGATGCTTTGAAGCAGCCGTGTACCGCATTAAAAGTGTTTTCTTTAAA